GTAATAGTTTAATTTGAGCTCTTTTTCTTTTTTCTTTACTTTTCCTCCCTCAGRCTGGATGGTGGACACACACCCCGGCAGAAGCGCAGCAGCAGCACCCCCATGAAGGAGAGGCAGCTGTCCAAACCTCTGAGTGAACGCACCAACAGCTCCGACTCAGAGAGATCCCCCGAGCTGGGACACAGCACACCGGTACAAAAAACATGGAAGCCTTTTTTATGTTGTTGTTTTCTTTTTTTTGTTTGTTTCCCCAATAACTCACGAGCTGTGTTGTTGTTTTGTGCACAAAAACAAACTTGCACTTCCCGCTGAGGGATTTCCATATAAAAACAGCTGCTTCTGTTGTCCGCCCACCTCTTGGCGAACTTCTCCCAAAGTAAAGAAAACACAGACTTTGTTAACGCACGATCGCTCGGAGTGAGAGAATGAATTATGGATGTGCATATGAGTCATTTAGCTGTGAGGAGGCGGGATAATAAACCCTGTGGGGTTGTGTGTATTCGTAGGTTTTGAGGAAAGCCGTGTACGATCAGCTCAACCAGATTTTGCTGTCAGACTCGGCGCTGCCTGAGAGCCTGGTGTTGGTCAGCAGCACCGACTGGCAGGGCCAGGTGAGACTTCAAGCCTTTCCACARTAACTCCACAGCTCTGTTTTGTTTTGTTCAGCTCCAGATCTGATGGGTTTTTTGTGTTGCAGTACGTTGCAGAGCAGCTTCAAGGACAGAGACACCCGGTGGTCTCCACGTGTACCACCGCTGAAATCCAGGCTGTGCTTTCTGCTCTGCTCACACGCATACAGAAGTTGTGAGTTTGTCTGAAAACACTCATTTGCCTCAGCTTTTCCCTTTTTCCCCTCCTCTTATTTATAGCAACTTCTTATGTAGCATTTCAAAATAAAAGCACTCCCATTATTGATATAGTAYCTTTAATGTTACCCTAAGTTGCTGTCTTTATTGCAACTAAGCGGCTAGTTGTCAGAGACTGCTCTCACCTCAGGCTGACTCTAGAAGACCTCCAGATGTTCCTCAACAATTATGAGTAACTTCTGATGTAGCATTTCAAAATAAATGTACTCCCAATACTTACATTATAACTTTCTCTGCCCCTAAGTTGCTGTCTTTATTGCAGCTAAATGGCTAATTTATCTGTCCTCCTCYTCTTTGACAACCAGAGTTTTTAGTAATTTACTTCACATTTTTTCTTTATGTCTCATGGCCCATGTTCTATTTGGTCATTCTTTTTATTTTATCAAATCGGACGTTTAATACTGCACATATCAAATTATTTAAGGTGGAGCTTGTTCAAAAACTTTTTAACAACAGGCGGTTGCCTGTAAATTAATAAACACTAGCTAACTATCTTTAACTAATGGCAGACTGTATTTTATTTTATTTTTGTTATAACTAGTCTAGCTCATTTTGTTACGAAAAAAGTAACCTTTTACAGTTAAAACCAGATATTTACACATACACTATATAAAAAGACACAAGCATTTTTTTCAGTTTCTTATGTGAAATCAGAAGGTTTTCCACTGGTTTTATAGYTTTTCCTGTTTTAGGTCAATTAGGATTAATTTATTTCCTATTAGCTAAATGCTTTTTAAGGCAACTGTTATTACTTTCTTTAAAGTCAAAAGTTTAARTACACTTCATTAACWTTTGGTACCATTATCCATWAACCGTATGACTTAGGYCAAATGTTTTAGACTTCCTTCCACAAGCTTCTCACAATAGTTGGCAGGAATTTTGGCCCATTCCTCCTGACAGAACTGGTRGAACTGAGCCATGAGTGTAGGCTGCCTTGTCYCTTTTCAGCTTTGCCCATAAATTTTCAATAGGATTSAACAACAAAGGCATAYGGGACATTCAGGCTAATTTGAGACAGTTGGAAACCCACTTCAGGTTAGAAGGCAGCGGGTGTCGGATTAATCACATGTTGCTAACGTTAACTCACAATGCTAATGTTTAAGCTAGCATTATATTCTCTGGCTCTTTCGGAGTGGAGGAGCCAAAAGGTCTGAGACTAAATTAAAACACATAAATGAATTGCTGTCTCGAAAGTTTACATTCTATAAGCCTTAATAAAAAATCGATACAGTATCAGGAAACGAAATATCGTGATATTTCAATGTATCGAAATTTTCTGATCGTATCTCACCTAGAGTTTTTATTCAAACTGAGCTTGTGTTCTTTTATTTATTTTTTACAGCTGTAACTGTAACTCGTCCATGCCYCGAGCCGTGAAGGTGGTGGCCGTGGGCAGCCAGAGTTACCTGGGGGCCATCCTGCAGTTCTTCGTCACTCAGCTGGCCAACAAGACGTCCGACTGGCTCAACCACATGCGCTTCCTGGTGGTGCCTCTGGGTGAGGGAGCTTTTTGTCTCCACGGCTGTTCTCCATTGACCAATCAAATCTCTACGCGGCTAAACTGGTGTTACTTTTAGTTTCTYACGAGGTTTCGTTCTCCATCCTCCTCAGGCTCCCATCCTGTTGCGAAGCACCTGGGAGCCCTCGACAACCGCTACAGCTCCTCTTTTTTGGACGGGGCATGGAGAGACCTGTTCGGCCGCTCGGAGCCACCTCAGACAGGTAACCTTCGTTAGTGTCGACACGTGTAACCTCCCCTTCCAGCAAAGCTCAGTGCGCTGCTTCTTGTTTCAAACGTTTAGACCAGTTGGACGTAGCTGGGAGGATCAGCCAGTACATCAGCGGAGCCTCCGTCACACATCAGCTGCCCATCGCTGAGGCCATGCTCACCTGCAAGCACAGGACGTGAGTGAAGACCCCGTGGAGACGAACTGAGGCGCAGCGGTCAGAAATAATCTGCTTTTATTTTTTTCTTTATGTCCAGGCGAGAGGAGGACTCGTACCAGAAGTTCATTCCTTTTATTGGGGTGAGAGTTTTAATGGTTCACGTTGCATCACCATCATCATCATCACTCTTTTTTAAGCCACTTCAGTAGAAAACAGAACTGAAAGTTAGTGTAGTTTCTTCATCATCAGTGACAGTTTTTTTTCAATAGAAGAGAAGAAAAAGAAAGAGAAGATTGAGAAATTGTATATGTGAAATATAAACCAAGACAACACACCCGACATCTGTCTACACATCTGTAAAAATGGAGAAAACAAAACCACAGCAACAAATAATGTGTATATCATAATAATTATAAATTTGCTGAAATATATACATACATGCATATACCCATACATACATATATAAACAGAGTTGCACATAAGCAGTGCACAGGTACGCATGCGTGGTCAAAAAAGAAAAAAGCACACCAAATGGAATGTCATAAAGCTCCCTTGCTTACCTAAGATTGTACCTGGTTGTCTGTCAAAACAGCAGCTAGCAGGGCTCTAGAAGTGTGAGCAGTTTGGTCGCAAACACGATCTGATTTCTTAAAAAAAATTTAAATAAAAAAATTCCAGCCACACTGGTGTGAATGGATTGTTGTTCGGTGCGCCACAGCGGGACCCTGATATAAGGATTAAACGGACAACTGCCTTCAACAAATCAGATGAAGTCCAGAGCCGTTTTGTCCAATGAAAGCAGAGCAGGGCGGGACTTTCAGTGAGAGCATGTTTGTTTGGTTGAAGCAGCGGGCTGGCTCGACTGGAGTTGCTGCAGCGATCACTCCTGACGTCTCCTCCTCTGCTCCTCCTGCACTTTGCTCCTGAACTACCAGAGACTTTGGTC